TATATATATATATATATATATATATATATATATATATATATATATATGAGCTTATTATTAAAAGACTCGACTAATTAATGATTGATTAAAAACTTTGAGTAAAAGTAATTTCATTGGCAGTAATAACAAGAATTAGCAGCCAACCGTTTATCATAGAATTTATATATTTGTAAAGGTTATTTTTCTTTTACCGAATGATTTGCATTCGCTTTCAATTTCATTATTTCTTTGAAAAAAAATCATTAATTTACATTTACATTTGTATTTTGAGTTAGTTAAAATATGTATGATTATCCGTATTTTACGTAGAAATTCGTAATATTGGTAAAACAAGATTGGTAAAAAAAAAACGATTCTTTCTGACGGTATAAATCTCGTGAATTATCTCGGAGGGAAATTATATTTCTTCGCGTTAAAAATATACTTCAAGTACGAGAATAGTTTTCGTAAATATTAATACGTGAAATAAATGCATATTTATGTAAGTAATATACATGTATCGTTGATGACAAACTCATGTACAATATTCTACAATATTAAAGCAATATGTTTGAGTGCAACTATTTGTGAAAAATAAAAAAAAAACAAAAAAAAAAAACAATGTTTAAAAAATTATTTGGTGTTGTATACAATTTAGATAATCATTAATTTTAATAATCATTTCTCCCGTGCATTTAAACAAGATGAAATATTAAAGCTTATCGATGATTCAATTCGGTTATTTAATTGCATTTGTTCATACATTTTTTCCAATATTCAATGTTGAAGAAATTGCTGAAGATGAAATTATATCGTATACGTTTTATCGTCACTTTGACGTAAGTAATAATTACCAAATAGCTTATTAATATTTTTAAAACGAGCCTATTAATTTACAAATATCGCTCGCTCGTGAAATTAGCCATTGTTATTAATAGCGAAAGAACGCGAATAGTGGGTGGGTGGGTGTGGTGGTGTTGGGGGGGGGGGGGGGGTTATGTTATTACTTGCCTGAACATTTGTATATAAAAGCAAATGAACTAGGTCGATCTCTTCGAGTCTCACGACGCGATAAACATGTCCGCGGAAGATCGGGGACTCGGGATTTTATAATTGCCGTACGTAAGGTGGATGAGAGGGATGAAATGCAATGTAAAACGCTGCACTTGACTCGAAGCGGTCGACCGGTCTTTATCGCACATATAAAAGTGTGAACGATGTTGGGCCCAGGAAGCGGCAAGTACCTGCTGCCACCGAGGGGTGCGTGTATGCTCGGCACCGTCCTCCACAACTCCGGGACGCAGTTCTACCTGGACGAGTGCACGCGCTGCTCGTGCACGAGCTCGGCGATCAGCTGCGCGAAGGAGACCTGCCCGGTGCTCGAGTGCAACAGCGAGTATCAGACAAAGATCCCGGGCCGCTGCTGTCCCCAGTGTCCCCTGGTCGAGGAGAGCCGGGCCTCGTGCACCTACGCCGGGAAGACTTACGGGGCGAGTACCATTGTCGCGTTGCTTGCACTCGTCGTCGCCGTCTCGCTAATCGGCGACTGACGATTAACGCTTGGCTTCGCACCTCGCGACCCTGGGCTTCCCTCCCTACCTGGACGGCCACGTGGCTCGAGCGAATCCCGCCGTCGTGGCGACGCTCGGCATTAATCGATCGCTTGATCGCTTCCACCGCTGCTGGGCTTGTGAAACGGACTTGAACTGGAAGGCGCATTTCGTCTCTCGAAGCAATGAACCTTTTTTCTTTTTGATTTTTTTTTTTTTTCGTTTTGTTTTTGTCTTTATTTCTGTTTATTTGTTATTCTGTTTTTGTTTTACAAACGCTATAAGGCCCGGAGATGTGACCCGGTCATTCGAATTATCGGTTTGCCGCTTTAAAGCCTATTATCAATTATTTCCTTGGACTTTCACCGTAACCCAGTTTCTCGGAGCATTGGCCAGATCTTCCTTACAGGGATATCGCAAATCTGTGTAAATTAAGTATGCCTCGTTGCTTGTAAACGCCAATAAATTCTCTGGAACTTGAGCTTTGCGCATGAACTATGAACTTCTATAATATGAATACTTATGACAAATACATTCCAAGGGTAAATGTTTTTAAGCTCAGTAGCGCGCTGACAAAGTCGCACGTTTATTAAATTGAGGGACGTTGGAGCGGAAAAAATGAAATAATAACGTACCGATATTCCGATAATAATAATGTCATTTAAAAGGAACGACATTCGATCATGTAATTTTCATCTCAGAGTTTATGGCATTGCCGTATTGTAGTTGGCTTACAATTTTGTACTTTCGACTTTGTAATATTTGAAATACGCCAAGTAAAAGGAACAAGCTCGTGATAAAAGAGAGAGAGAGAGAGAGAGAGAGAGAGAGAGAGTTAAAAGAAGATAGTATTAAAGATCGTGAGAGATTGAGCCATGAATGCAAGGAACTCTGTTATAAGACGTAAACCGTTCAAACACAACTAATCGACATTACAATTTAATATATAATAATGGTATTCGTATTTTGTGTAAAGTGTGCAGAAGATATGTTATAGGGTTTCTGGCTCGATTCTGACCTTGAGCCAGAAGTTCTACAGGTCTGTTTTGGAGAGCCGAGTTCTTGAGACATCCTCTCGTCAAAAATTTTCCGTTCCTCATATGGATGTGTCGAGACTTTTATGTGCATGAGAAAATCCATATACGATATTAAATTAGAAATTTTCTCTACTGGTATGAAGCTTGAATCGAGGGTTTTAAGCTAGAGTTACAGGAATATATAGGACGAGCGGGAATACATTTGCATCGCATGTTGCTCTGCGAACGACTGCTTTCATTGATTTTTTACATACATTTACATTTTATGTTTTTGTTGGGGGACGTAGGACGGTAATTAAATACCCTTGACGGCCTCTAATTAGCTACCTTTACATCATAGACTAGTTCATTGCCATCCCAAGAGAGAGAGAGAGAGTGTGTGTGTGTGTGTGTGTGTGTGTGTGTGTGTGTGTGTGTGTGTGATCGGCTACCTCCAGGGTAAATATACCTTAAGAGGGCACTGGTGAACGAAGTCATGTTCGTTGGATCGATTGTCTCAAACAGGTAAATCAATCTTAAGGAGAAGGGTTTCTCTTTGATTTTTTGTTCTTTTTAATTGTCTTCTATGCTACTTGGAGCCGGAGAAGTTCCTAATTTCTTTTTCAAAATGTTGAGACAAACCAGTGAAACTATTATTAATAAAGCATTATTTTTTTAAAGCCCGGCCATAAAAGCAAGGTATTTCTATTTTTTATATTATATTTGTAATTGTCAATCTTTAATTGTCTGCCTTAAATGGCTAATGTGGATTAATTTTAGTCGAAATTGAAATTTAAATGGACTTATTGCTTACAAACACGCACGCACGCACGCAAACACACACGCGCGCGCACACACACACACACACACACACACAGAGAGAGAGAGAGAGAGAGAGAGAGAGAGAGAGAGAGAGAGAGAGAGAGAGAGAGAGAGAGAGAGAGAGAGAGAGAGAGAGAGAGAGAGAGAAATACACATACATGCAGACACACACTGTGTGTGTGTGTGCGCGCGTGTTATTTTCAGGTAATACAGTTATTGAAGAGTTATTTAACTGTATTCATATATCTATAGAGCAAGTATTTCAAAACGCGCTGCTTAACAAAGATACAAAGTTGTGTCGTATCGACCGAGAGTTATATTTTTCACTTTCACTTATTTTCCACTTTCCACTATCATGTCCCTCCTATTTCATAGAGAAAAATTTTGGTTTTAACTAATCGCAAAACTTTGAAGAACAAATATATTTGCTATTATCAATATAATTGATCATCAAATCAATTACATACAATATTTAATATATATATATATATATATATATATATTGTTGACATTTGAGACAGATTTTTTGTTGTTGGAAAATGTTTATTTCTTAATTTGAAATATTTGATAGTAAAAGAGACTTATTGTGTAAAAATTGTAAAATATTTTTCAGCAGCAGACTCACACATGCAATTCTCTTGTGACATAAATATATTTAAACTGTTCGTTATCAATTATACTTAATTATCAAATGTCATTACTCTAAGTCCCATTTGATATTTAAAAATAACCAAGATGATGAAGGCCACATAGGAATTCATGGTTTCCAATGGTCCAACAGAAGCATCTAGCATTTTATAATTATGATATTTCATAAAATATGACTTTTAACGATCGTTTTATTAATCAAATTTATGGGAGATTATTAATTTTCAATATATCGAATGGGAATATTTAAATTTAAGAAAGAAGATTTTTGGATTTTCTATTACAAGGCTAAAAAGTGCCCGCTTAAAAATTTTGTATATACATACCCATATTTATCTATATATATATATACGCTTAAAGAATAAATGTATTTGAAAAACAAAAAAAAAAAAAATAAAATAAAAAAAAAATTGTTAAAACAAATACAGATTTTTTCCCGCAAAATTAATGTAGTTAAAAATAATCATAAAAAATTTGCAATATGTACAGTTTTTCACGCTTCTCATAAATTAAAAATATTTCTCAAAGCGAGAGCATAAATTACTAATTATTTAAAAAAACTTTAGTATTGTGATGAATAATGTGAATGTTAAAGTGAATGTTAGTGTACGCTTAAGTTGCCCGCCAATCTGTTGCACAAAAAATCGATTATTTGAAGAAATTTTACAAGGAAATGAATACTTACACAAAGTTTTTTGACGATTTTATTGAATATTACAAGAGGCAGTTAAACTTATAAGATTATATTATTGTTGCATACAGCGTAAAAACATATTTACTTCATATGTAAAGCTCATTGAATCATATTATGGAATAAACTAGATTGCGCAATTTTGACAAAATACCGTTATAAAGCAGTAATTTAAAAATGTAGTATTCTCATTACATTATTCACATTTCACAATATTAACAATCTCTGTAAATACATTTAATATATATATATATTCTGTTGTTGTTGTTGTTATTATTATTATTATTATTATTAGTATTAGTATTATTATTATTATTATTATTATTATTATTATTATTATTATTATTATTATTCATTCTTAGCTAATGCTCTTGCTTGTTACACTCTGTCCTTCTATATTCATTAAAATAAGTATTTTCTTTTTTATTAATACCAGTGCGGAAAATTTCACAACAGTGCGTAGTCCTAAAAGATTTTAAGCATTTTTCACTCGACCGTGGAAAGAGAAGAGCATTGCTGCTCGGTTCTCCCAATCAGGAGTATGAGTTATCCCTCATTTCGTCTATTATACGAAAAATTATTATTGTAATTAATGTATTATTCCATTATATTATCATTCCATTTATTTATTTGATATTGTTAAATTAAAAAGTAATGCATTTATCAAGTTTCATGTTGGTAGATTGATGTCAAAAGCCATAACTAATACCGTTGGATTTATTTATAAAAGTTTAATTTTTAATGTCTTTGTATAATAATGCGACGTTTATAATGTGTAATAAACATCTGTCTGTGACTGTTTATATTGTTAAGTATTATAGAGTACATAATTATTATTAATATTACACCATATACGTGCATCACATAATATAGTTTTTAACAAACTCATGCGCTTTGTTTCCAAATAAAGAAATTGTATGAAAATAAGTGCCTGCTAAAGTTTCTTTTATATACTAACATTTATAGTTTGACTAACTGAACGTTTATTTATAAACAAACATGACTAACCGAAAAGCTTCGATAAAACGATAAAAATAAATTGTATTTATTGAGTGACTGAACGAAAGGTTATACGTATATATTTGAGTGACTGAGAGAAAGGTTATATGTATATATATATATATATATATATATATATATATATATATATATATATATATCAAAATGTTTATTCATTTAATATTATTTGTAAAAATTGTCCTTATTTATACGTCATCGTTTAAGTATTGAGTCGAATACTTTATTCACAACTGTGAACAAATAAACGAAGATGTCCATAGATATAGAGAATTTTTTTTGTGAAATCATGAACATGGAAAATCGACCACATCTTCTTTGGCATGAAATTTTATGAACTGAAATAATAATACGGCTAGCATTTTCAAATATCTGATAAAAATCATCCAAACAACACATGCCGTATCATATGTCCATATGAACGTAGATGCAATGCCAGTTTGGTCAGACATGGATTTAAGAAGACTTGGTATGAATAAAGAATATTTTTTCGTGAATTTTAATTGAATATCTTTTAACTTTCAAATAACTTGATTTCGTTAAATTTAGTTTTCACTTGTAACGTTTAGTGTAGTAGTTTAAATTTCAGCCTCATAATTTCAAAAAAGGAAAATTGTCTTGAAATATACTTTAGTATAACATTCTTTAACATCAAATGAATTGCTCTATCTTCAAATTCTCAAAATTCTTTATTTAGTTGTGTTTTCGATTGCTCTAAAACTTAATTAGGTTATTGATAAAAAACATTAGGAGTATAATGATAAATTATTTTCAATCATAATTTCCGAAAGCTCAGAAAGTTTCAAGGCTGAAAAATTTTTTTCTAATGGATCATAAAATTTTCTTTTTATCAAATGATTTGTTATGAATTAAGGTAGTCAAAAACAAAAATAAAAAATTACATAAGCTATTCTACTGCCTTATCTTATTTATTAAAGTACTTGAGATCTATACGGTAGGCTATGTAAATGCTACAGTTTAACATTAACAGTGCATATTGATTTTCTACCGCACGTTGGGATTATTTCCGCTGTAATTGATCCGTATGCTTTTTAAGACTTTAGACGCTAACTCGATTGAAGAATGCATCACCTAAAAAAAAATTCCCATCTCATTAGCATTGCACAAGTCATTACAAGCCATTTGTAATTATGATGTACATAAATCCACTAACACTGAACAAGCTATGATCAATTGTAATTTGAATTTCTATTTGCTTACTAACATTCTTAAATAACAGGACTACTGTGCTTAAAACGAACACGACTATCCAATGTTGCAATGTGGTTTAAACGTTTTAATTTCTCCTAGGCAGGATGGCGAAACTTGGAAGCTGGATCCCTGCAAGTCATGCGCATGTAAACAGGGAAAGGTGCGCTGTGCCATGTCCATGTGTCCTCCTTTAACGACCCCATGTCCGCCAAATTCACGGTTAGAACTACCGGAGGGTCAATGTTGTCCTCGTTGCGTTGAAAGTAAGTTGATCTATTCACTATCATCCACATTCGTTTTCACTCACTATCGCTCATATCTCCATACATACTCATGTATATATATATATGTATATATATATATATATATATATATATATAGGTATATAGGTATGCTTGTTGGTGTTTGCTTCTCTTACGTAAGGAAGAGAGAAATTGAACTATTTGGTGAAAAATATATACATTCAAAAGCATTAGATTTTTTAATATAAACCTATAATCATTTTCCGTACCGCAAGAGCACAGTAATAAATTGGAAATACATTGTGTAATTTGTTGCATTATAATACGTAAAAATAAAATTACTGTGCAACAGCGAAACCCAAATAATAAGCTAAATGTACTTTCCACTGCAAAATATAATATTACAGGTATTTATCAAAAAGTTAGTACTTAATATTTTCTAACTCTCTAATTTTCTTCCAATTCTGGAATTTTTTTCTTAAAATAATTTGACATATTATTTTTAATTCAAATAAATTACAAAGTGAAGAGTTACTCAATACTTTATAAGTATCAAATTTATAATACGTCATAAACTAAATGTTAGGAATTACAATTAACTTCATAATTCGCACACACCTGTAAGATATTATCGTAAGATATTACTAGACAACTGATCGCTCATATTAATAGTAATAATAATCATAATATAACACAGATAGTTAAAACATGAAATTTTAATTGAAGGCGATGGCGTGTGTACGATATTTGGTGATCCACACTATCGGACCTTCGACGGCAAGTTCTACACGTTTCGTGGCTCCTGCAAGTATCAATTGGCCAGTGATTGTGCGAATCATAGTTTCAGTATACGCGTGACCAATGATGCTCGAGCTACGCGTCTGTCTGCCTGGACCAAGACCATCTCTATGAAGATCGGCGAGCTGAAGGTCAATCTGGGTCAGCGTATGCGCGTGAAGGTGAACGGAAGGCGGGTCGAGGTGCCCTTTCGCTTAGCTAACAAACTGAACATCAATCGCACCCTCGATAGTATCCTCGTAACGACGCATTTGGGAATTAAAATTCTCTGGGACGGCATAAGTTTCCTCGAAGTATCCGCGCCAACGTATTACAGGGGAAAGCTATGCGGCTTGTGCGGCAACTTCAATTCCATACCGAAAGACGACCTCATGAATCGACGAGGCAAACTCATGTCCGATCCTGTGAATTTTGGTAACTCCTGGGCTGTGGGGGCTAAAAAGATTTGCTCGAGGACGAAAACTCACGCATTAAGGCGCGGCTGCAAGCTCAGAAAGGATCACAGGTAATTTCATCGAATTTATATTAACATTTTTATTATGTGATTATCAGGTGCTCCTCTTATGTCGTCCTTAGTTACAAATATCTTGGAAATTTGTAAGCTAATGATAAGGAGAAAGGTCTCGTGTCATTCGATTGGACAAATTAACGACTCCGTCTACCACGAAGAGCATTCCAAGTTCATTTAAAATAACATTATTATGTCAACAATTTTATTTAACATAACACATTTGAGAGAGCTAAAAGTTCACGATGCATCGTTATTTATTTCAACGATTTAACTTTATCGGTTTGACAATTTCTACCAATGTCCGTTCAACAAATAAATCTATAACGAAACGTGCAATTTCATATGCTGTATTTATAAACGGCCGAAGACGCCGAAAATTCGATTACAATGAGAATTCGAGAGAAACGCCCGAGACATTGTTTCTCAAAATTATCATTATCGAGTCCTTTTTCGGCTTGTCAATGCCATAATCGCGAAGCATATGTACGTTACAAAAAGCGAATAGGCTAACGCACCTGGGATAATCATTCGAGGCTGCCATCCCGAACGAAGCTCATCATTGTCATTCTTGTATGATAGGCTGTGCAACCGACTGCGTTCCTCGATCTTCGAGTCCTGCCACCGGAAGGTCAACCCGACCATGTACTACAAGGCCTGTCTGCAGGACATGTGCGAATGCCCGAGCGAGCACTGCTACTGCGAGTCCTTCATGGCTTACGCCCACGACTGTCAGCGTCTCGGCATCCAACTCCCTCACTGGCGCAAGTCGACCCGTTGCCGGACGGTCTGGGATACGACGCCCGTCGGCCAGGGGCTGCCACCCGGGTTCATCCCGGCCCCGCACCAGTCCCCGGCTCGTAGACGCCGCCCCGGCTAGCGACGGACTCCCGCGGCGCGTCCGGCCCGCCGCCGCCGCGACCACTCCACCCCGTTCCTCGTCGACGAGGCCCGGGGGAGCCCGCGAGGATGGCCACACTCCGCGCGAGGATATACTAGTCATCAGCTTACACTCGATTCACAATAATGGTGAGGCACTTTCGAACTTTTACTCATCATTGGTCAATCAACACCATCGTGCTATCGTTGCTTATTATCACGGGCAACGTGAATCTCGAAGCTCTTAATATCTCTCTTATTAAAAACATAAGTAAACAAGCATTTGCTTGTGTTTTTAACGGAGTAAGTTTAATTTTTTTTTCTCCACGTTTATTCCATCATCTGACAATATAATTTCAAAATTTATGTGGATTATGAAAGTTCCTCATCATGCATCTACATTGAGATCATCCATTGAGAGTAAAAAAAAATACTTATGCATAGCCGCACGTCACGATCAACAGATGGCCCCCCCCGAAAAAAAAAAAAAAAAAAAAAAAAAAAAAAAAAAGACTATAAATGGAGCGATGTCTAAACGATGAAGAGGTAGCGCGAACGTGATTATTGAAAGGATTTTCCTTTGAATTTCCAGAGCACCTTCCAGTATTTTGGCCGATGAGCAGGCTCGCGGCTGCATAGCATCTACGTACACAACCCAGTCTCATTGAGAAGGAACACCAGCGTCGATTACGCATGCGCGATTGTTGAATGTATTTTCTATTGCTATTAAATGCCTAGGGGCACTACCTAATTGATGAAAGCTCGCGCTGTCTCGTTTCTCGTACGACAATATGTCCTAAATGGCATTTCTCCTATTATTATTTTTACTACATGCGTATTACTTACTAGCTGCTGTTATGGAATGAATTGCATTGTAAATGGATTTCTTTCCCGCTGGCATATATATCGTGAATAATCATTTGTATATAAATAATTCGTAGTAACGTCCAATATATTTTTCGTTACTTCTCAATAATATTTCTCGCAATGGCCACTGGGAAACTTATCTTGCACAATGCTTTGCACGTGATACGATTATTATTTGCCGGATTAATTGAGCTAAATCAAAGCCAATTATCAATTACAAATAATATAATTAAATTGGCCGATAAAACGATGGTCATATATCACAAAATTGTAATAAAATTGATTGAAATACATCTCGATTTATTCACGATAAACCAGCATCATATTAAATTAAATAAAATATGAACTGTAAAAATAAAAACAATCTAATTAACATATATATATATATATATATATATATATATATGTGTGTTATGTTATGTATTATCACGTATACGCGCACACGGTCACACTCGCACACGTAAGCACGCAAGCACATAGAAATTATGCATTTAATTTTAAAATACGTAAGAATAAAAATTTTAACTGCATATATTCATTGAGTGTGCTTGTGTTTGTTTATCGATAAAAGTCTTCTGATACACTTTAAATATTAATAACATGTACGCCAACCTTTTTACTATTGATGGATAAATATTGTACAGCTTTATTATCCCTCAATCATTCTTCTTATATTTCTAGCTGTAACGTTAATTTACGAAAACTAGAGAAATTGTACATTGCTATGAATTATTTTTTGTATATGTTTCAAATTATTTTGAATTATCAACCATATAGTAACTTATGTATGTAAATGTGTATCATTAAAGTTAAATTGAGTGTAATATGTGTAACAGACGCGTATATTAAATGAAAATTTACTGAAAGGTAAAACGCTACTCAGAATTTGTATAAAAATGTAAGTAAATATTACAAATTGTGAAATGAAAACAGTGTATTGGTACATTTATTTCTTACCGTAAATTGCCATTATTTATAATTATGAGATTTTAAAGTCATATTATGTTTGTATACAAACCATACCTATTACTCTTTATTTGTCTAATTTATTTGAAAAAATTAAAGCAATAAATTTGAATCTTTGAAAGAGTTATAAAAAATTTAAATAGTATTTTTTTTTATGTAAATTTATAATATAAACACGGTGAAATAATTTTTTTCAGATTCTATTTTATTAAACATAAATAATGCCATTTAAAATTGCTCATATTATATATATATATATATATATATATATATATATATATGAAATGTATATATATATATAAATATAAACAACATAATATAAATAACATTATATAAATAACATGAAAAAGGTAATAACTTACATAAATATCTGATATTATCATTTATTTCATCATAATAATAATAATCTCTGAAAATAATTTTTACAACATCAGAAAGCTTTACAAAATTAGAATTAATAAAATATTTCGTATTCTTCGATAAGAAATGTTTTAATAATCATATAACCTAACAAGATAATATTATTCGTAATTTTAAAACTTTATGTTCACATCATGAATAATCAAACATAAAAAGTATTGAATTTATTCTGAAAACTTCTATTAAATTTTCAATTGATTAACTCATATAATAGTAATAATTGTCAAAAATTTACAGAATTTCTTAAATAATTTCCATTGTTGAGGAAGGTCCATGAAATAAATCTTTATGTATATAATCGCAAATTTTTTGTCATCATGATTCTCAACTTTTATTACGACATTATAAATGCACAAAAACATCTTATATATATATATATATATATATATATATATATGAAGGTGTGTCGATTTCTCGTGCTTCTATGTATTTCGGTATTATGTTTGTATATGCATCTGAATAATTGCGATATTTCTTATTGAATAAAGCATATATAATTACGTAAATTTTATTTCTTTGCATAATTACTTATGTAACGTATTTTGAAAATTTGCGAGAGAGAGAGTTGAAATGTTTTGCTGCACATTAGTTAATATAATGTCGAGAAAATGTAAAACTCGAAAAGAATTTTCGCTATAATGTAGAGAAATATCTATTCGCGATCGGTGTCGAGATACTTTTTATTATACACTCTTTAATTACTTACTTAAATTATTTTTCGAATATTTATTTACTTTTTACGATTTATGATTGTTTTTAATAATTATAACGCTTGTCGCACAGGCGTTTTTCCTATTTCTGTTTTAAGCTTGTTGGAAAATAAGATATGAATACGCGATTCGCTGCGCTGGTCTACGCTACGACGATTATAACGACGAGAATCGCTGGTAAATATGTCGATTATAAGTTTTATTATTAATATTCAGATCTTAAATCCTTTATTATAAATTTAATATAAGAAAATTAATCTAAGACAATTGAATAAATTACATCTCATGATTTATCTTAGTATTAAATTCTAACATACCCGATTTGACAATAGTAAATTGCCTTGGGAAATGATTGTTAAATTGGAAAAATAAAAAAAAAATAAAATAAAAAAAAAAAGAAGAAGAAAAAAAAGGATTAAAATATATCTTTAATGAGCGAAAATTTGTTAAATTGGAAAAATAAAAAAAAAATAAAATAAAAAAAAAAGAAGAAGAAAAAAAAGGATTAAGATTTTTATTTTGATTGACTCGGTTCTTTTCATTCTTTAACATTTGGCAACTTGAGAACGATTATTATTACTTAGTTTTATTTGCCATCGCCAGGTTTTTCCATTACAGCGTAAAATTCTTAGTAGTGTTTATCAAGAGTATTTATTTATTTATTCATTTTTCTATTTTTTTTCTTTTTTTTTTTTTTTTTTCTCTTTCTTTTTCTCTTTTATAGGAAAGTATACTTTTTGTAGGATCATATTGAAGAAGAAAATATTTTTTATTATAAGGTCTACTTTCACATTAAACACCTTGAAGTCGCTCTACAGTTTTATCGCCAAGAATTTTAGGAAACATGCAAATTTTTCATAATAACTTCAGTCAATAGATAATTATGAAGAAAGAATACTTACTCAATAGGTTCTTTACAATATATAGAAAATTATTTACATATACAATATTAAAGCAGAGCATCTTTTTCGGCAGCTCTATCTGTCGATTAATACTTGAGTTATCTAAGAAGGACACCGCAATTTTATTGTTCCTGCAATACACATCTACAATTTTACTTATAATTTCAAAAAACTAATACAAAGCCGTTGATAGATATATAAAAATAAAGGGTGAAGAGTTGGTATTACTTTGTTTCCTTTTTTACGATATACATAATTTGCAAATTTTATAATTGTAAAGATTATATCTCTTACGCAATGGAAAAAGATAGAGAGAGGAAACTCAATCTCATCTTGGAAAGTGTCACAGCACCGTGAGACAACTTGTGTAAATTGTTTATATGAATTCGATCATAGCACAACAATTGATTCAGCAACCAAAAATTACACTCCTTAACACATAAAATGATATGTAATTTTCATCTTATAGTTTCGCTGATTATTGACATTTTATATTTTATGTTGTTATTCAATTCTATCATTTTATACCCTGGAAGGTTATTAATATTTACTATTTCTCCAAAGCATATGTAATGTAGATTTTCTTTACTACTCTCAAAGTGTTTTAAACAATAATCTTATATTGTGATAATTTATATATTCAATTTGTATTATAAAATAACAAAGTAAAATATATGTTTTCATTTTAAGACTTTTCACTATAGTCATTCAGCTCTTTTTTTTTTTTTTTTTTTTTAAAATTGTAAATAAACCATCATCAAATGGTCATTACAAAGCCGATTCTTCAATTGCACAAATACTCTTCTTTTTCTCAACATCGAAAACAATCTATGAAATATGAAATAAACAGTCCTATTAAAACTTCTATTAACGACTTTATCAATCATAGATTATTCACTGTTGTGCTCCGATCTTGTCATTTTACACATTGGAAGACTGAGTTTGTCTTTTTTTTTTCTTCTTTTTTTCTTTAATATATATTTCCTTTATATTTCTCTGTTTCTTTCTAATGTCGATCCAGTACTGCATACAGACATAGAGTTAGTACAGTTTTAACGCTATTAATCGCAAGTTTAAAAATTACCGTAACATCACATTTCTCATTTTAAGCCTGTGCGCAAGTATGTTCATTCGAAAAATTCTCTTATACCTGAACCTGACTTTACAAAGTTTTGTAATAAAGATTTTGTAAAAAGCAGCATATGATATATAACGTTAATATCTGCCTGTTCGCGCAAACATGCGATGACTCTATAAGGAGTTTAAACAATCGTACGAGTACTTTATTATTTATTTATTATTATTTTTTTTTTATTTAATTCATATTTTCGATAAATAACTAATTTTCCAATAATTTATTAC